TTGAGTCACAGACACTACCCTGTCTCCTGCTTTTTTAGGAAGCATAATTTAGTGCCACTAGAAAGAGGTCACTGATCTGACATTTGATGCTGTGTCCTGTGGAAGTTCTTTCCCATGGCTGTCTCTCATATGTCATCTTTTAAAATTTGATTAGTAAAGTAGAATATAAATGTCTTAACACAGTAACTAGGAAAATGACATAAAGGTTATGTTAACCAGTTTGATGAAAATATTTCAAATTGTATATGAAAACACCACACCATACCCCATGATTGCATTACTGTACACAGCTATCATTTAATAAAAAAATAAAATAAAATTTGATTAGTGTTACATTGTTTTTGGCATATATAGCAATTGGAGGCTGAGGTAGAAAAGAAATTTGTCCCCTTAGAGATGATCGTTTCTGTGCATTCATAATAAAACACGTAAGACTGTGAACCAGACAAGCTGTTAGTTTCCCAGTTTTGGATGGTACCTTAATAGGAATTTTAAGGGAATTCAGAAACATTTTTTGGTAAAAATATGTGTTGGCAGCCTCACTTAATCACCTCTTAAAGGTGAGAATTTATGGCTCAATGTTAGTAAAAGCCTTCTGACTCTAAGGGTCTAATGATCCTGCAAACTTCTTTTGAAAATATTAAAATATTTTGATTATTGAACATGCTGTGAGATAATGTGTACCAGGAAGCTTTATAAAGAAGGTCTTCCATTATACCTTTATAAACTTCAAAAGATTTGTATTCTTCTGGCACATGTACTACCAGATATCTTTTCAGGCTTCAATGGGTTCTCTTAAGATCTCTCAGTAAGTCCACAGAAAGAGCACTTAGGTGAAAAATCATGTAATAATACCACCGCTTAGAATTGAGCACTCAGGGTAGGGCATTAAGGTTTAATGTGGGTTCCGCATGCTCCTATTAGAGATCAAAGTGGCGAGAGACTTAATGGGAAGGAAGTGCCCTCTGTGAACCAAGAGGCAATGGTGGGGCTTGATCACAGGGAAGGGGAGCCAGTCTTCCCTCTAATGGGATTGCCTGTTTCAGGGTAGCTCATGCGCTGAATTGGTCCTTCTGATTCCCATTATAAATGGTCTACTTCCCATTTCAAAGGGGATCACAAATCTTATCAAAGGGCAAATTTGTTTAATGACTAAACATGAGATATAGCGAGTGGCTTATTGTTTGTGTTGTTTGCGTTGTTGTATTTGTCATGATATGAATAATACCTCTGTGTTTCCTGTTCTAGGTTCCCAAAGGCACCGTGAGTGACTTCCCTGGATTTGATGAGCGGGCCGATGCAGAAACTCTTCGGAAGGCCATGAAAGGCCTGGGTAAATTTAGCTTCCTTTTTGTTTTTTAAAAATCTACCTTTTGCTTTGTTTTTAAACGAAGTCATTTACTATAGTAAGATAAATTTTAGATTATTGTGTTCTGAAATTCATAGGACAAAAGACACATGAAGGTAACCAAATAATAGACCGTTTCTAATATTTGGTCTCTAGAACTTAACAGGCCATGAAATTCAACCTCTGTGCTTTTGCACCTGTCCCCTTCACTTGTGCTGTGGTGGCCTGAGTAGAGACGCAGCTGTCCCAGAGAGTGAGCAGCTTTGCAGTCTGTTTCCTCTGCTCAGTTGGATATCCAGTTCTCATTTTGTGAGTCTTTTAAATATGGCTCCCTTCTCTTTCTAGCCCCTTTTCTAGACATTTAACAACTTCTCATCTTGAGGATTTCCAGGTGTAACTGGTCTCTCTGTGCTCAGTTTCCAGTACTATATTCATGTGAATTTTGGCCTTTCAAGGCCTTCTGCGTTATCCCTGCCCAGCTGTTCAGACTCATCTCCCTTTATTGCTTGCTTGATACCTTCTCTGATCCAACCATTCTGGGCCATCTGCTATTCACAAAAGCCCCGTATTTTCCCAATGCTGAGCTTTTCCCTTGTTCCCCAAACCTGTCTTTGTTAACATCACTGCCTTTTGCAACCCTTCCATCCTTCAAGACTGGTTGGGTTATCACCTTTCTGTGAAGCTTTCCCTGAGGCTGCCTTCTACCTCTTTTATCAGCTAAAAGCCTCTCTTTTCAACCCATGTAACACCTGGACCTCCCCTGAGGCATTTATCACATTCTGTCTTAGCTCACAGTTATGTTTTTATAATTTTCACCGTAAGTTGTCTATAATTTGAAGCCAGAGTTTTTTATCTTTCTCTTCTCCCAATCCTTTGTAACACACAGCAAATCATGTCTTGTGAGTAGCAGTTATTTGAATAACTATTTGCCTGAAAAACTAGATGCACCCAGTTTTTCAAAGGTGAGGAATACTGACTTCATGATATGTCAGGAATGGGGGGGGGGCAGTATATATTGGAAACCTGACCAATTTTATGTATTGTCCATTTTACATTTTTAAGAAACAAATAAAACATTTTTGTATTCTTAGAGAGAGAACAGGGAAATAAAATGACCAGGGAGCTGGGTACAGGGGTTGCTGGGGAGCAGGCATGTGGGAGTCAGCTGTCTTGGTTCTGTAAATTGCAGGCACCGATGAAGAGAGCATCCTGACTCTGTTGACAGCCCGAAGTAACGCTCAGCGCCAGAACATCTCGGTGGCTTTTAAAACTCTGTTTGGCAGGGTAAGACTACACTTCGTCCCAGTGTAGAATGGGAGAACAGCTATAAGTTTTAAGATTACTTTGAAATACTCTAGTATTTCTCTGTAAGCATCATTTATTTTGTGATTCTGACTTCTCTACTTTTTTCTTTTCCACTTTCTCTAAGTTATCTGATGTTGGTATACAGTACTCACCCAATGTATCCTCACATAATTATTTCTCTCTGCTTGATGTGGGAGAGGGGTCAAAAGATCCCTTCATGATAACTTCCCTCCTTTTTTCCTTCTGTACTCAGAATCATTCATTTCCTAGATGTAAAGCTGTATAACAATATGTTTTTTAATGACATAAAGTCTTGGCTTATTTTGGGATGACTTTAATTGATGGATTTTTAATTTAAAAAAGTAAACAAAATTAAATTTATTACCAAATGAATTAGTGCATGCATAAAAACGTAAGTGTCGTCTTGTTTGTCTGAAAACTTGTATTGTCATTTCATCGAGAACCAAATGCAGAACAGAAAAGGTAGTATTCTCACCACTATTTATGGTTTCCTAGCATGCTGAAACTTATACATTGGAAATCCCTATATTCTTTCTTTTCATAATTATATATACAATATCTCCATAGTTACAGATGTCTCTTAGTAGTCAGGAACATGAAAATAAGATTTGGTTAGTGTAATAATATTGTTGGCGTATGTAGCAATTGGAGGCTGAGGTAGAAAAGAAATTTTTCCCCTTGAAGGTGACTGTGTTTCTGTGCATTCATAATAAAATACATAAATTGTGAACAGATTAGCTGTTAGTTTCCCAGTTTGAGATAGTACTTTAACAGGAGTTTTAAGGGAATTAAAAAACATTTTTTGGTAAAAGTAAGTGCTGGTGGCCTCTCTTAATCATAAGGTGAGAATTTATGGCTCAGTGTTAGTAAAACCTTGTGACTCTGAGGATCTAATGACCCTGCAGACTTCTTTTGAAAATATTGAACGTTACCAACATAGTATGTTCAATACTAACCGTAATATGATACATATATTAAAATGTTATTAGATATTGAGAAAAAAAATTGTTATGTTTGGGTATAATAGGCTAAATTTTATCCTTTGTAAAAATACATTTATGTTTTTATTTGAGAATTTTTTTTTGAGACAGGAGCCTCAAGCTGTCCCCCTGGGTAGAGTGCTATGGCATCACAGCTCACAGCAACCTCCAACTCCTGGGCTCAAGGGAGTCTCCCGCCTCAGCCTCCTGAGTAGCTGGGACCACAGGTGCCCGCCACAATGCCTAGCTATTTTTTGGTTGCAGCCGTCATTGTTGTTTGGCGGGCCTAGGCTGGATTCGAACCTGTCACCTTGGGTGTACGTGGCTGGCACCTTAACCACTTGGGCCACAGGTGCCGAGCCTTTGAGAAGTTTTTTAAAGATACTTGTGTTTCTAGAATAGTATTTTCAGCACATTAACTGCCATGTGAGTTGTCTTTAACTTACACTAGTTTGGGGCCCGGGCCCTTGTGAAATATATAACTCACAAGTCTCTTGACCGATCTTGACTGAAGAAAACACCATGGCACCAAGAGAAAAAATTTGTTTTCTAGTGTGGCAGTCAGTGTGTTAAAATATCTTTAGTCTACTTTTGAAGGTATTCATTTTCTTTCCAGCTCTTCAAGCTAAGAAAAACATTTTGTGAAAATAAATACCTTGATGCTTAAGTGGCTTTGCCTTAGGCTGAGTTTAGTTCATATGTCAAGAGTATATTATTGAAGGTTATGGGGGTTGTTGAGCTCACGTGCCTTCTACTTGAAGCTGGATATATACTATAGAATTCATTAGTGAAAGGGGCTATCATTTAGATTTAAGAAGAATCTCCTTAAAACTTCTGCCTGGTTAACAAGTTTGTGTTTTCTGTGAGTTAGGATCTTTTGGATGACCTTAAATCGGAATTAACTGGAAAATTTGAAAAATTAATTGTGGCTCTGATGAAACCCTCTCGGCTTTATGACGCCTATGAACTGAAGCATGCCCTTAAGGTAAGCAGGAGTGAAAGGAATGCTTCTGTCGTGTGTAATACTATTTTGTTTTGGTAATTACTTCATCTTAATTGTTAGGCATTAAAATTTTTATTTGACTTATTTCAGTGAGAGTTGCTTGGAAGACAGAGCTGTAGGAGGCAAAAGAAGTAAAGGAGGGAGAAAATTACAAGTGTGTCATTTAATCTTTTTCTATGTTTAAACTTGGTAATATTGGCTATTTAAATTTTAAATTTTTTATAGATTTTTATATTTTATTTTCATGTCAGTCTCCTAAATTTTTAAATGTGTTAAAAATTCCAGATGAGATGTTTTATTTTGTCACGTAGCAAGTTGCTTGTGTAATGAGAATATTTCTCATCATTTTAGGTTAAAAAGTAAAGCTTCAAAGAGAATTTTCAAGATAAACATTTTGCAATAGCCTTTCCTTCTTTCCTATACTTTTTATATTTCATTTTTCTTTTATTTTGTCACAAAATCCTTGTATCTAATCTAATATCTTTTCTTTTCATATTTATCTTTTTCCTTTTTTGTTTTTGTTTTTGTTTTGTTTTGGTCACAAAATCTTTCCTATATATCTAAACACTAAAATAGTAGAGCTGGTAAACTTGTTACAATTTCAGTTGTAGCAAAAACTAATATGTGTTCCCTTGACTGGTGTTTGAAATATTGTATTAATATGACTGCCTTGAAACATTTGTTTAGACTTACCAGACAGGAAGAAGTTCAGTCATCAGCAGTTAGATCTTGAATGGGCAAATTGAGATTTAACAACAGGAGAGGATCAGTGATTCTCGCTTATGGAGTAGAGAGGGGAGAAGGTTCACCCAAAGAGGAGCTTCATAATGCTTAGTCTCTTCATTTTCCTACAGTGATTCCTTTGGAATAAACGAAACATTGGTCACTAAGAAAAGTGCTTTTTTTGCAGCGTGCTTCTGAAATGTCAGCAGTAGCTGAAATTCTGCCAGAGGATAAACCTACGTTTTTCAGTGCTTTATTATTTTTTTTTAAGAAACAAATACAAAGATACATATGTTCTTTTTTAAAAATCAAGTTCAACTGTACTGTTACTTCTTTTAATTTAGTGGTGTAGATATGATTTTTATAAGCAGAAAAAGGAAAACCAACTAAAATTATTCTTCAGAAATCCCCAAAGCAAGTCCCGATTCCTTTATTCTGATCTAATTCCTAGTATCTAAGCAGTGCTATGTTTACTGTTACCCTTGATGCACAATTTGCTTATGAATCCAGAGAAATTAACTTGGGGTAAGAGTTTATCAAGGGTTTATGTTTTGAGATACAGATTGTTTAAATATCAGTGCTCCAGACAAATTTAGGTAAAATTTTTATTTTTACTCTTTCACCTTTTAAAAAATTATTTCACCTTTCATTAAAATGTTTTATTTTTAAAATAGACTTAACTGACCAAATTATAAGTTACAAATTTATATAACTGGTTTATGTACATATACGTATACATATACACACAGTTAATAAACATTGTCTTTCATTAGACAGAAATGAATAAAATTGGAGAGAAATTAATTTCAAATTGCTTATTTCTAGAACTAATAGAACTCATATATAAAGGAGCCGATGTTATGTTGGATAATATGTATATAATCATGCCGTTTGGGTAACAGCTATACTAGGAAAATGACTTCCTTTTTAATCTTATTGACATGTTTCTCTATTAAAAACAAATTTACAAATAGGGAGCTGGGACAAATGAAAAAGTCCTGACAGAAATTATTGCTTCAAGGACACCTGAAGAGCTAAAAGCCATAAAACAAGTTTATGAAGAAGGTAAATGTTTCAGGTTAATATTTCTCCTTCATCTCTGCTGTCACTTCTTTCATTTCTCTGCTATGAATGCAGCCCTTCCTTCATACGGTCCTACAGGAGGCAGGCAATACGTGATTATTGAATGAATGAATGAAAAAATGAATGAGTGAGCTACGATGGAGGTCACTTTTCTCTTTCAGTAAGGAAAAGCTGGCCTTTTCCCCTATAACTGTCCTAGTAGTTTATGAGAAGCTACTGATGTAGATGGAGTTTACTTTTTGCCTACAATTTGCAATGAATGTAGGAATATACAAGTTGTCTTTCTTTTACATTAACTGTAAGGCCTAAGTGGCTTTTCTTCTTTTAAAAAAATTTAGTTTTATGTTCCTAAAAATTCAGAGTCGTCTACAAAGTACTTTTGGAACCTTGGAAAAGAAACCTAAATCTTTTTCCAAATCAGAATCAATAAAAACATTTGAGCAAATATGTGTGTTTCAGTTAATGGCAATGCTTAAATGAAATACTCAGCATTTTGATGTTTTTTTGTGTGTGCCTTTTTCATGAAAAAAATCTGTATTTCAGTCTGAAGTATATCCTATGAATGGAATCAAGAAAATGAAATAGAAAGCAAAGATAGAGAGTTCTTTCCTCTTCAGAGTTCCTGTCATGGACTCTTTCCTTCTGCCTGATTGAGAACGGTTAGACCCTCCAGTTTGTCAGTTTGGTCAGCTGACTCCAAGCCTAGTACCTGTAGCTGGGGAAATGGGTGTCCTTCTTGGCATTAGTTTGTTAATTTTAAATGGCTTTGTTAACCCTGCAGGTCAGAGCGGTGTGCTAGTTTAAGCAACTATGTAATTGCCTTTCTGAAATGTTGAGTCTAATAGCTGAAATAGCCATGCATGGTTTGCCCCCCTCACCTGTGTTACTGAGCACCGGGTGTGTGTCCGGCAGCACACTGACTGTCATGAATGATACAAAGGGTGTCCACAACTCATCTCCTGTCCTCAAGTGGTTTGCCTGCAGTCTGTTTAGGGATGACATGCCTTAGAACAACTGCCATAGTTAAGGGATAGTACAATTCAAACCAAGAGTAGAGTAGTGCCCCTTTTCCTTTAACACCAAAAGATGTTTCATGCAGGAATGCATTGAGAGGCAAAGGTCTTCTTAGCTTTGTATGTTAGGGGAGATTTCGTGGTACAAATTGCACATTCAGCAGAGTTGCAGGACTAGATAGGTCTAACTAAGAGTCTATTGACAGATGAATGTATAAAGAAAATGGGATCTACAGAGGATCTCAAAAAATGTATACATAATTTAAGAAAGGAAAAAACTGTATTATAATTATAATGCTCTACTCACATTTGACTTTGATACACCATACAAGGTAACAAATGTTACTGGTCTATATTGAGTATTAGAATTTTAATACAATTCTGTTCTCACTTAAAATGTGTATACTTTTTTTTTTTTTGGCAGCCTTTGTGTGGAATATGATTCAGTCTTAGTGAGGGTAATCTTGTCATAGAAAGATGAGGAGGGCATTGTGCTAAATGAAATAAGCCAGACGCAAACACCTCAGGTGTCACTTATATGTGGCAGCGACACGAGGAGCAGCAAAGAGTCAAATGGCGATTCCTAGAGGCTGGGGTGGGGTGGGGCGAAAGGGAGAAGGCAATGGGGAGATGTCAGCCAAAAGGTACAAAGTTTCAGTGAGGCAGGATGAATAAGTTCTGGAGATCTGGTGGACAGCATAGTGATTGTATTGATAGTACTATGTGGTTGTAGTATACTTGAAATTTGCTAAGAGAGTACATCTTAAATGTTCATGCTGTAAAACAGAAATTGTGTGAAGGGCTGGGTATGCTAGTTCGCTTGAATGTGGTAATTACTCCATAATGTATATGAATATCAAAACATCATGGTGCATACTTTAAATATATACAATTTTTAACCTACCTATCATAACTTAATATAGCTAGAAAGAAAAAGACTAGACTAGGTGGGTTGGGGTGGGACAAACATTTTTGGGTAAGAGGCATGGAGACTGGACCGCCCACAGTGTTTAAGGCGTGGAGAGCCTGCCCCCTGTGGAGGGTATGTGCATGTTCACTATAGAAGAGAAATTGAACAAGCAAGGTCAGGCAAGGCTGTGTAGCAGATGGCTTTACAAGACTGAATTAGGAATTTGGATTGGATTCAAGGGCGCTGTAAATTCCTGAATGGACAATGGAATGTGGAAGGAACAATGCGGGAGGAAGGAGATTGTATCTAGAGGCTGATTAGGCAGCTGTGTATGGCCCAACCTGGGTTTGGGTGGGAGGTGT